CTAGAACTCGGGCTAGAAGAATTGGAGCAATATGGGAGAAGGAATTCGCTTAGATTCCATGGAGTCACGATGGATGTTTCTGAAGTAAACAAAACTGACGAACTTGTGGTGGGAATATGCAATGAAAAGCTGAAATTATCTCCCCCCATCACTTGTAATGACATAAATAGGTCCCACATAATAGGATCCATTCGAAATGGCAAAGCTCAAATCATCTGTCGTTTTAATAATTGGAAAATTAAGAACAGAATTTATAGGGCAAAATCAGAATTAAAGAACCAAGATCAACAAAGAAAAATATTCATTTCAGAGGACCTTACGCGCTCCAGACAAGAAATTATTCAAGCTTTAGCCAAGGCCCGTTATTATAGAAAAAATTGATTCATACTGGACAAACGATGGCCGAATATTTGTTAAGGAAACTGTGGGGTCACCAAAGATTTTGATAAAACATTACAGTGATGTATTGTGCTTTCTTCCCGAGGATGATCATGGCAGTGATGATGAGGTTTGACTCATTAAATAGTTAGATTTGTGTATTTCCCCCAATATATGATTATAGCTCCTATCAATTTACACTTGACACACTGACATTGTATGATTGTGTACATAATGCGTAATCCTGTATTTCATATGAACACACACATTTATCCTACCCTTTCCTAAAACATTCACCTACCCCATGCATTGCTATGGGTCTTTACTAATTTCTCACTTACCCCCGATTCTTCAACTATTCTCCTTGTTAATGCTTTATGTTTCTTACTATCTCTCTATTTTTTTCACTTCTTTGTTGCACTTTAGCCCCTCTTTATGCTTTGCTTACTCAAGCGTTACGCTGTATGAATGAAGTCGACATTCCTGTCTACCGTCGCTGCACGAGAATCAGCTGTCTTTATTTCTTTAGATTTGACGTCCTAGATCATGGGTAATGATCTAATGACATATCGTGCGGCGATTGGAAATTATTACTCCGTGTGTCACAAGATAATCATTCGGAGAAATAGATTTTTTATTTTAAAATACGGCAAACTAACAAAAAAAGTAATATTTTTCCTCTTCCAAGTACACGACTTGATTAAGAGAAACATACTAAATATCCAATATATTCTTCTCCTTATGACTTTGCTTTTGTTATGTAATGATATTGCGGAAAATCCTGGTCCAGAGCTAAACGTTAACTGGTCTATCAATATTTCATCTGAACTGTAGAAGTATACGACACAAATTAGACAAGATAACTAATTACTTTGAATTGAACGATGTTTCATGCTTTACCGAGACTCATTTGAGTGATCTTGTAAATACAGAGAATTTAACAATTGAAGGGTACAATTCTCCCTTTAGATTAGATAGAACTAGTCATAGCGGTGGAATTCTTGTTTATATAAGAGAAGGCTTAGTAGCCCTGAGACGGCGAGATCTTGAAAATGCGTTAGATGAAACAATTTGGGTAGAAATTAAGTTAAAAACAAAAAGCGTTTTTCTATGCACTATTTACAGACCTGAAACATCCAAGGTTGAATTCTGGAACAGGCTTGAAATCTCAATTGGAAGGGCTTTAGATGAATCTAATAATCTGGTATTAAATGGGGATTGGAATATAGACTTCAGTAAGAAGCTTCCAGCCTATATTAGTGATATAATTATGACATATAATCTTACAAACTATATTACCGAGCCAACGAGAGTGACATATACGACATCAACTTGCATTGACCCCATACTTATTACAGATACCCTTGATTGTATTGAATCGGGAACTATTGATATTGAAAAAACTATAAGTGATCACAAAGCAACTTATATTATACTCAAATTAGATACAGTGATCCAAAATACATATGTCCGAAAGATCTTCCTGTATAAAAGTGCAAATTTTGATCAATTTAGAAATGAAATGAATGAAACAAGTTGGAATGAAATTCTAAATAGCGAAGATGTCGATGTCGATGTATTAAAGTTTAACGACAAACTTTCAGAATTTGTGAATGAAATTATCCCACAAAAAGATGTAGTAGTTAGACCGGATGATAAACCTTGGTTTAATTCTGAAATCAGGAAAGAGATAAAATTGCGCGATAAATTTAGGAAAGCATATAGAAAAACCAAAAACGCGAGAGATCGAGAAATATTCCGGAAACAAAGAAATAAAGTTAACAATTTTAAAAAGAAACTAGAAGAAGAGTATCTGATAAATTTAAACGAATCATTGAATCATTTAAATTGCACAAACTCAAAATCTTATTGACAAATAGTTCGCAGGTTATTGAAGGGTTCTAAGCCATCACACTCTGTTCCACCTCTAAAAGAAGATAATGCCTATGTATTTACAGATGAAGGGAAATGTGAATTACTGAATACTTATTTTTGTAAAGTTTCTTCTATTGATAACATAGATAAAGACCTTCCCGAATTCGAAACAAGGACAGAGGCCAAACTTGACAATATCACAATAGACGAAAATGAAATTATGGATAAAATCGAAATTTTAGATCCTAAAAAAGCCTCCGGTCCCGACAATTTTAGTCATATTTTAATAAAAGAAATAAGTAATGAAATTGCAATCCCTCTAAAAATTCTGTTCAATAAATCTCTGAAAACTGGGAAATTTCCATGTGTTTGGAAACATGCTAATGTTATTCCTGTCTTTAAAAAGGGAGAGAAATCAAACCCATCAAACTACAGACCAATTTCCTTGTTGAGTTGTATGGGGAAAATCTTTGAAAGAGTAATGTTTAAATACATTTATAACCATTTAGTATCACATAAACTGTTATATAACCTACAAGCTGGATTTATGCGTAGACATTCAACAGTCACCCAGTTAATAGAAATTTATCATAACATTTGTATTGCTTTAGACAATAAAGAAGTCACCTGCTTTGCTTTTTGTGATATCAGTAAGGCATTCGATACGGTTTGGTTGAAAGGCTTAAAATACAAATTAGAAAAATACGGGTTTGTGGGTGAAGTTCTTGCTTGGTTAAATGATTATCTTACTGGTCGATCACAGCAGGTCAAAATCAAATCATCAAGTTCTTCAGCGGGAAGAACGAAAGCAGGAGTTCCCCAAGGTTCTGTTCTTGGGTCTTTACTTTTTTTAGTATATATAAATGACCTACCATGTGGACTTTCAGGTCTCTCTAGACTATTTGCAGATGACACATCTGTGTCAAACACATCTAAAAACTTGAAGGACTTAGAAAAACTTACTAACCATGATCTAGAAAAAATTAATCAATGGTCAAAAAACTGGCTTGTAAAATTTAATTCTGAAAAAAAACCAAAATATTAATATTTGGCAGTAGTGAAGATGAAGTATCCAAACTAAGCTTTAAGTTTAACAGTCAAGAAATCATTCCATCTTCTACTCACTGTCATCTTGGACTTACGTTTTCGAATTCTGGGAAATGGACAAACCACATTGATAATATTATTAAAAAGGCTTCAAAAGAAATTGCAGTTCTTAGAAAATTGAAATTATCTTTAAATCGTGATTTCTTAACAAAGATGTATACTACATTTATTAGGCCCTTATTTGAATATGCATCAGAAGTATGGGATAATATTTCTGCAGCTGACTGTGAAAGGCTAGAGAAACTTCAATTAGAAGCTGCACGTATTGTAACTGGACTTCCTATTTACTCCCCCCGTAACTCTTTATATTATGAAACAGGATGGGAAACACTTGCTTATAGACGAGAAAAGAGAAAGTTATGTTTAATGTTTAAAATAAAACATGGTCTCGCGCCAGACTATTTACCGAATCTCTTACCTCCTGAAGTCTCAGAAATAACCCAGTATGATTTACGAAATTGTAATAATATTGTTATACCCAAATGTAGAACGAACTTATTAAAAAATTCCTTCTTTCCATCTACAATATCATTATGGAACGCCTTGCCCTCTGAAATCAGAAACCTTGAAACTGTAAATGCTTTCAAAAAAAGACTTCTTAAATGTGAATCTCCTCCAAAATATTTTTCTTTTGGTGAAAAGAAAATAAACTCAATTTTAACTAGAATGAGACACAATGTGAGTCTCCTTAAGTCAGACCTGTTCAAAGTCAGGCTTTCAGATAACACTCATTGTTCTTGTGGATATACCAATGAAAACACTGAACACTTTTTTTTGTATTGTAAGAATTATGCTGAAATAAGATTAGAATTATTTCACACTATAAGAAATAACAAAGGAACAATAGACCTTGACATAATTCTATTTGGGGACTCAAACTTGGGACAACAAAATAATATGAACATAGTTAAAGCCGTACACAAATATATTAAAAAATCGAAAAGATTTTTATGAATACCCAGCGTAACCATTCTGTATCTATTACAATCCCTTTCCTTTCTTTCTTTGCACCCCCCCCCCACTCTTTTCTTATTTCCCTGCACTTTTTTTTGTATTGTACATTTGTTGGTTGTACATCACGTGTATATGTATATGTCATTTTGTTTGTGTTGGAGAGGACAATTCTAAGTTGGTAAAACTTGTGTCCAATCCTATTGATTATGTTTCAATAAAATATGTTTAAATACAAAAAAAATACGCAAGAGCATATTCTTCACAATTTCTAAAAAAGAGGCAGACAATTGACAAATAAGTTGAAGATAAAAGGATATCAATAATCTCGTTTAAAGTAAACATTGCGCACATTCTATGGTAGATACATTGACCTTGTTTGCGAATACAATATTTTTCAACGTCCTTCATACAAATTGTTATGCTATTTTATTCTCATGGGGGTTATGACTGATCAACATGGGATGCTTACTCTTCCATGGCACCTGATCTCACCTCTGATGTTTTCAGAGGTCCTTGTTGGTTCTACTCAGAATTTGTAGGGTTTAATTGAACTTTTCAGCATGATCACTGTTCGCATTTCATGAGCCACCGGTAGAGTTGAAAGGAAGATTTTAAAAAGACATTTACTGTTATAATCTTTTTGGGTTCAAGTATATTTCGTAAAAACAAAACATTAATGGATTAAATATATTTCACTTTAATGAAACAAACTATATATTTGCTTTCATGTCTGTTAATTCAAATTCACAAACTCGGTAACATTTTCTTACAATGTAAAGAACCAATAAGAGCACTTTCACCTGTTTATGAACTGTTTCAACCAATACATAGACTTTACATTCAAACGACTTCCTTGAGAGCAAAGGAATTACACGATAAACCTCACTCGTATAGATATCTAATTCTCAGCACTTCAGAATAACGAAGATATAATAAACAAAAAGCGCATGAGCAAAAAAATCATTTGATATATAGCATTTCTCTTTCATTAAAACAATATGAATACCTTCACAATGTGGAGGAGGGTGACGTTATTTTGAACAAAAAGTGTGCAAAAGATATGACAAACTATATACATGTTTTCAACACATGCAATCAGGAGAAACAGTTTTATGTCAATAAGTTATACTTATATCACTTTACATGTGCAGATTGTTAAATAAAAGGAAGTTCATTTTGACAACTGTATACAATAAAACAAATATCAACAAAAACGCATCTAGGAATGGGACTGTACATAAATATCGTGAATCTGAACTCTGTACTCTCTTTTCTGTCAGTCCCTGGTATAATAGGAAAGCTGGTATCAACAACAGTTATCAAGGCAGTGTAACGGGAATCATTATTGAGAGTGATGAAGAGGACTTAATGCTCCACGGTCAATCATAACCATGCACATAATATAAGGCAAAGAGTAAAACATTCAAGCCATGGTCGATCGTCAATTGTCTATAAACGAGCGATTTTTAAATACTTATTATTTAAAATAAATTTCATTTTTTTATTCAACTGTCAAAATCCAATAATCAAAGGGCAATTTTTGAAAGAAACTTTCTAAGTTGTTTTTAAGGAAAAAGGCATTAGGTATGTCTAATACCCAGGTGATAGTAAATGCCAAAAAACCCTGAAAATACAATATTAGTATCAGTATATCTAGAAACGCTACAGAAAACTAACAGTTTACATGTACATGTATGATCCGTGCATACCTGTAGTTATGCTCTAAATAAGTGAATATGACCAAATGATGTACACATTCTTATAAGTTGGACCTTTGCCAATATTGTAAGTAATTTGTATCAATAAATAATTTTAATTGCATTTAAAATCAATATTTTATTCATATTATTGTTATTTGTCTTTGTTGGTTATCATATATTCTGTCATGCTGAAGCTTAAACTTCCTCATTTATACGTTTGTCACATTTCTTTTCACGTTTGAAATTTCTTTGGTTACGGGGTGGATATGGATCATTTTGGATAACTGCACCTGGAATCTAAAGTTTATAAAAATAAAGCAAGTTCAGATTTAGTAAGAAACATAATTTATTAATCTAATAGAGGATTTATCGAAAAGACTTTTAATCTCTTCATTTCCACCTCCATTGTTTTATTTTCTCTTCCATGAACATTTTCACAATGTCAAGGTTTTGTGATATTAATTGTTTCTCTACACAAACCCATGACAAAAGTCGCTATTTAAAAGTCGGGCTAGAAAGCTATCATTTCATTTGTTCCCGGTCTAGGACCGGAACCAATCAGAAAACAACCTTTATTGAAGTTAAGTTTTGTCATGGGTTTGCGAAGAGGGACGATATCACAAAACCTTGACATTGTGAAGATGTTCCATCATATAAAACTTAACTTATTTTTGATATAAAAATTGCATTTTATTAAAGTACCTTTTATTGTTCTTTATGTAAGAACACGTCCCTTGTGGATTTCTTTGATAAACTTTCTCCAGCCTGCTACTGATTTCCTCTGGGAAATCTTTCCAGCCCTCGTACCTGTCATGTACCTGCCACGCCACTGATACATCTGGCACATATTATTTATTGTTAAAAACCTCTTATTCATTTTGGCAATGTAAATACAAGCTAATGAGTCTGTATGTGACATTATGAGATTTTTAGAAGGTAGTATTATTTAATTTTCAGTATTACTGAGTTATAGGAAATAATCAATGTAAAATTAGAATATTTAGTGTGTTCAGTGTTTAGAGATATTTTTTTTTTATAGAAAATATATATTTTGTCAAACTAACCATTCCTAATTCAATAATCATTTCTTTTATGAAATAAATAACAAGTTTAAAAACTTCTCTGTGAAATGAAGTGGGTCGGTCACGTGATCAAATCCTGTGAAGGCCGAAGGCCTTATCAGAGGATTTGATCACGTACCGACCTACTTCATTTCCCAGTGAAGTTTTTAAACTTGTTATTTATTACTTATATATACATTTGAGACGGACAATCGAATATAGTCGAATATAAATATTGCACTAACTTTCGTCGTAGATTTTGACAAATTACGCAAGGTGTAAATCGGCTTGAAAAGCGGTTACGCTTCAAATTCATCTGGCAACGGATTCTGTTTTGAAGGGAATATTCTGTGAAAGGCTACTTGTGATCAATTATAGTGAGCATATTGGTGTTTGGGAATTTTTGTATTCATGAGAACCCATATATTCGATGTTAAAAAACGCAAGAAACACGTCCGATGTTTGATAATAAAAATTTGGAGGAATTTCTGTCGGAAAGGGATGGATGGAGACACTTGTCCGAACCAGTTAACTTGAAATCAAGTAAAATAATTTGATCAAAAACATAAAATCTACGATTTCAGTAAAGCATATTTATTATGATGTTGACACGGAGACACTGGCGACAGCTTAGGACAACGATCTCGATGATGGAGGTGTGCCTACCAAACTTCCGAAGTGCAGTGTTTGTCAGCTGTTTGTGGCGTGATTGCATTACACTGATATTTTCCAACAAATTTTCAAATTTATTGTGAGTAAAGTTTTAATGAAAAAAAAATTATAGCATTCAGAGGTCTACAAGAAAAATAAGGGTAAACGTTGAGACTATGCAGCTCAGACATGAAACTTATAACACGTAGTTTGCTATTCTCTATGTAAAATCGATCAAGAACTGTATTAATCACTAGTTTACATTGTAAATGAAATGATTGTTATTTTACTTGAGTATTTTGTATATTTTTATGTATGAAAAACATGCTATATTGCGAAGTAGAGTAAGTCTTTTCATGTAGATATTATTGCGCTGTGTGATTTGGTCACGTAATGACCTATGACCTTCGAGAAACTTCATACAGGTATGAAGATATTTGCTCTCTGTATGTTTATATAATAGAGAGATACCACAAATGTATATCTTAACACATAATTAATTTTTAGGAAAATACAGAAACATTCAAAGATTTACCAGGCGCCTTCGGCAATTGATCTGCATCAGAACTACTGTGATGAGAAGTCTGTGCACTGATGGTGATTTCATCAATACTGCTAGATGGACTAGATGTCTGGCTTATTTCTTGAACAACAGTGGAAACATCAGATCCAAATGTCGTGTCTGAATTGGAGGATATATCGGATGACGAGGAACAAGAGACATTCAATCTGTCTGACTGTTCTTCTATGGGTTCTTCGTCAGCTGGTTCTGTGGTGTCCTTTTCCTGATTTTCCTCAGTTTTATCCGCATAGTCTTGATTAATTTCTCCATCAACTTCTAACGATGAACTAC